CAGCGAGCGGAGGATGTGTCCTCTGAGGATTTGTCTGGTTGGAGGCGGTTTTCCTCGGATTGGAGGGTGTAATCTGCCTGAAGGAAAGGATTTAGGAGAACATCTGAGAATAGTCCTGGACTCTGTTTGTTTGTTTGTTTGTTTGTTTGTTCGTGTAATAAGTCGAGAATGAAGCAGAAACTGGACGAAATCAGCAAATGATCATCTGAAGGTATTAAAACCATCATGCATATTTTCTCATCTTTTACACGTTGAGTCAGACGTAGTCCTGAAGTCTAACGATGTCATCTTTAATGTTCCTGATAAAATAAACCGACCTACAGCCGTGTAAGCATAGGCACTTTCTCTCCACTCCTTTTGCTTGCCCTCTCTACGGGGTATTCCCTCTTCTTCAGGCCATCAGCTCCAAGAACCAAGGAGAAGATGGAGCTTTGCAGAGAGGAGGAGGAGGAGGAAGAAGAGAGAATGAGGCTGGTTTCACTTCAGGGGCCCAGGTCTGGATCTGAGTACACTTGACCCCAAAGTCTGGTTCATTTGAATCACTGTGAACATAAACGTACCGTACTAGGGTACCGCTCCCGAGTCCACTTGAGGAGGTGGTCTAGGGCACGACTCATGTAGATGTAGAGGTAGTGGACAACTATATGACGTGATTCAAAACTTTTCCTGTCTCTTCAAAAACCATCGTATCTGTGCAGCACAGGCTCCATGACGACACCCTTCTGCATCCAAAAGGTCGCTTTTTCTTCCTGACTTTTGTTTTTGGTCACCTAGCAATGGGGGCTGTTACTTTGTTACTCGTGTGCACTCCCCTCCTGCTCTGTGCCTGACACCACATCCTGTCTGAAAGGCCCTTTGCAGACGTTTGGAGCAGAGTGGTAATTTAGAAGCGTAACTGTATTTTTATTCTGCCACATGCACAAACTCAACCTTGATTTTTACATTTCTGTGGAACCCTCTAACAACAACGACAGACAAACTGACCCTCTCTGTAATGCCGAGTCAGAGGACAGATTTGAGAGAAATCTAAGCCCAGATGTTCAGGCCACCTTAAGTCTTAATATATGATTTTTCTCACTTAAATATAAATCAAGTATCTCCTCTGAAAATAACTCTGTGAGTCATGACTGTCTACAATGGGTGTAACACCCGAGTCCCACTGTCTGTGATGTTTTCAGAGTTTTCAGAGTCCTATCTTCACTTTGTTTACATCGCCAGGACGGCCGGCTGACTCCTCCCCTCGTGTATAAAAGTTGTTTAATTGAGGGACTAGAGAAAAGAAGAATAACATACTGTACTCACTGCTTAACTGTGTTTCTAGATCACGCTCATTTCAGGTAAATTTACATGCAGTGTGAAGATACCAGCAGAATAAAGATCACTAGCATTAGCATGCTAACACAACAATGCAGCACGAGTTGTTTTGGTTTCATGCTGGAGCTCAAGGGCGACATCTGCTGGATCAAAACATCACATATAAAGACTTTAAAGATTCATCAGTGATTTGTCTCCGACACAAACTGATACTGAGTCTGGGACTAAAAGGAAACGATAAAACATGTAAAGTGCTGATGGAGAACATAGCACACCTTGTCCTTAAAGCTATTAGCAGCTTTAATCCTTCGCCCTCTGGTCACCGCCTGCAGTAAGTGCAGAGCAGCCAGTGATGACAGGAATCTACATATTTATGGTGGTGGTCTGGCCTCCATTTCATGCCGGTGTGCCTCCAGAGTGGCCTCGCTCTGTATTTCATGTGCACATCTCTGCTGCTCTGAAATAACCTCACAGCTTCACGCTGTCCGGCGTTTTGATTTACAGACACTGACCCGTCTCCCCGTGAGACCGCACCTCAGCCTGCGAGCGTATAATGGCCCCGTAACTGCCCGCCACAACTGGACTCACATTCATATTGGCTTTTATTTCCTGCAGCTGCTGGAGGTGAAGTGAGTAATGAGGTGTTTTATCCAGACGGTACAACTCAGCAGATGGGAGGAAGAGGAGGAGGAGGAGGAGGAGGAGAGGAGGAGGGATGTGTCATATAAACGGCTAACAGCTCATAGAGTGAAGTAGTACAGAGAGCAGATAATTCATGAATATTTCAGCAGCGTTTGGCCACAGGCGAACAAAAAGTTTGGGTGTTGTCGACAAAGAGAAAGTGGGAAACACTCCTGGCAGGATTGCTCATTTCCCTCCTCTTGCTGAGGATTTATTTTTAAAGTATTTTAGCCGTGATTCATCCGTTCGTCCGTCTTTCTGTCATTTAGCCGAGCAGGAGTCCGTCTCCCAGCTCTGGTGGCAGCCATCAGTTATGTGTCAGATCACTCAATAAAACTCAACGCCAACCAGGCTCCTCGCCAGTTAACCAATCAGATATTCCCTCCAGCAGCGTGTCAGTCTCTCTGCCGTCCAGGCGGCCGTGTAACCATTTTAGTGGAGTCAGCCGTCCAGGCGGCTTTCCATCACGCTGCTCTTGAGTGGTGACAGCGAAACATGCTCCCGATGAGTTTAAAGCCAGAAGACAGCTGACATCCTGCACGTCCCGGTGTGTCTGTTTAAATCCTCCTCCTGGTGCGCCAGACTAAATCTTCCCCCTAATTGACAGAGCAGAGGATGTTTTCTGCCAGGCGGACTGATGGCAGGATGCAGCAGAGAAGAAGAGGGAGATTCATGTCTGCACAAACAGAAATGTCTCTCCGCGTAGAGGACGCTCTCTCAGCGGCTCGGCGTCGTGCAGCTGAGGTAATGATGTGATTCCAGTGTACAGAACGCAGCGGGTGTCTTTAAATATGAAGAACATCACCTTGTAGTTATTCACACAGAGTGGCTGCTGAAGGACAGAACACTCTCAGGCTGGAGCTCCTCTTATCGGGGGTTTGTTGAAGACTCAACCTGAAGAGTCTGCGTTAACAGATCTGTATATGTCTGGTCTCCTCGTGGTGTGCAGCTTCACTTTCTGAATAAAAAAAATCTGTTTCAAGTATTGAGTCATTGTTTAAGTTTTTGGAGGGGTTCATATCAAAACAAAACATGCATGAAACATGTTTGATACTCTGAGTGAAACTCAGAGTATCAAACAGTGTAAACACAGAGCTAAGATCAACAAACCCAGAGGGAGTTTGACTTTACAATCTTTTACATGGAGTATATGTGATGTATTGATATTCAGAATGTTGCACATTAAGCCTGTAAAGGAGGAATGTGCGACTTTTTTATCCAGTAGACGTCGCGCTTGAGCTCCAGCATGAAACCAAAACAAACTTCTGTTAGGCCACGCCTCCTCCAAACTGAATCCTCCGCCCCCTCTAGAGACACACCATCAACCCCTCTCCACTCGCATTCACATGAAGGAGTTATCAAATGGAAAGCAAGATAATTAAGCACTATTAAGCGCCAGCGGCAAACAAAATTGTCCTAATGTCAAGCTGCCATCACCTGTGTCCTGCATTATTGTATTAGCATGCTAATGTTAGCGCTCTTTAGTTAGCTCGTAGCTTCACATTTCAAACTGACACAGAATGAGCGTGATCTAAAAACTCTTAATAAACTCCAAATAATCAGTGAGTATGTTCTTCTTCTTCTCTCTAGTTCTTGACTAAAACAGCTTTTATACACAAGGGGAGGAGCCGGCCGTCCCGTCCATGTAAACACGGCTCTGACAACAACACAGCCAGCGAGACTCAAGCTTCTCCCTCATTGTAGACAGTCAGGACTCAGAGACACATTTACACAGGACAGACTCTAAGATTTATTTATGTGGAACATGTCGCACATTCTTCCCTAAAATTAAAAAATTAAAGACCTAAATCTCTGCAAAACTTCACGTGTAGAAGTTCTTCTTCAAACCAAGATGTTGTCAAAAGTAACTGACACAACTTCAGAGACAAATCTGTAAACCATATTTCTTTATTAAAGATTAAGAAACTCCAAGCAGCATATTCATAAATAAAATAAGGGTCTCCCTTAGATGTACTGTGACAGACTATATGCTATGACAGTTCATGTTCTCGTCTTCTTTAAGGGGGGTGCGACACAAAGACCTCGCCCCCAGACCTCCTGGTTCCTGCTGACCAATCACAGCCTCAGGGTCCTCACTCTCAGTCCATCACGTCTCGGAGCACAGTGTGAAAAGCGAGTCGGTTCACAAGAGCAACTACTGACACAGTTAAAAACATCCACGTAGAGTCTGTTCAGATGACCCACCAACACGTGAAGTCTGACCTTTGACTTCGTCCAGATCCCAGACTGACCGAGCCATGATGTTTGAGAATCTGTATTCACGCAGGAGCAGAACATCGGCGTCGTTGCCCCCTTCAGCAGATATCTGACATACTGACGGTTTGTTAACCATAGAAACTGAAAAGATGAGTAATTGGGACAATCAAGAAAAGATTACATTTCAAACATCTGTACACACAGTGACACGTTGAAGCTTCTCTACCAGTTTCATCACAGAGAATGAATGAACCAGAAGTCGCATGTTGGTCCTACAATGAACAGTCTGAACGGATGTTTCTCTTCAGGGAACAGGATGAATGTTGAAGGGTGATATCAGGTGATTCTGCATTCTCAATTCATCTAGGGCTGTCAGCGTTTACGTGTTAAAGGTCACATATTCTCTAAAATCCTCTTCTCCATGTTCCTCTAACTCTAACATGTGTCTCTAGTCCGTCTACAAACCCCCCAATGATGAGAAAAGTTCATCCTCTCTGTCTTCTGCCTGCTCCACTTTTCAGAAAATGTGTGCTCAAACAGGCCGTTTGGAGATTTTCCCTTCATGACATCACAAAGGGCAGTAGCCCGGCCCCCAGGTTGGTGACACTCCCACCGCTAGGTGTTTGTTCTGCCCTCTGAGTCTGCCTTCTCACCGTAAACAATAGAACATGGAGCGAGAAAGACAGAGACACCCAAGCCCTTCCAGAGAGGGGGCGTGGTCAGACACAGCTCATTTACATATTTAAAGGTACAGACACAGAAACAGCCTGTTCTGAGCAGGGCTGAAATAGAGGGGTTTATAGACATGATCAAATACAGGATCAGATACGATCTTTGAATGTCTCATTTCACTTAAAAAAACTCTTAGACAACGACCTTCGATCTGCCAGAAGTGTCTTATTGTCTTTCAAATTTAAAGCAGGTTCATATCCAAAGAGGAAGTAAAACACTGTTAGCTTAAAACGTTATGAAAATAGAAAATAAAAGTCTAACAAAAACGGTTTCGAAACGCAAAATAATAGAATGTCAAACACATGATTAAAAATGTGATTAATCGTGATTAGCCTCTGAAATTCAGCAATGAATCGTGTTTTTTTTTAAATGTGTGACAGCCCTAGATTGATCCAATGAATGTGGAGAGTGGTTTGAGGTGGAAAGTGAAGACATGGAGTCCAGGATGCTAAATGTCTGACTGCTGAAAACATTGAATGAAGTTGAGTCATGAAGTTGAGTTTTAGATTCATCCTCCAGATATTCTGATTGAAACATCTACAAAGTAATACATGGAATGCAAAGATCACAGTTGCTACAGTCGTCAGTTTAAATGTATCATGGTTCGTTGGCCGTGGAAGGAGAACAGGTCGTCTTGATCATTTCTGTGAAAGCTTTGCTGTCGTACATAGTCTAGACCAAGACATACCCGAGACCAGAATGCTCTGAGACCGAGACAAGACCAAGACCAGGACCATAACAATAAAAAATCCTCATCTTGTGTTTAGGGGGTGTGTCCCTCAATTAGACCGTAACACTGGGAAGGTTGCGACCGTAACTGGGCGATAAAAATCAAACTATAAATGAATTGAAGTTATTTGTTCTTTTATAAAGAGGCGTTTTAATTCTATTCACAGTAATGATGTGGGAAAATAGCCGACCAGTGGAGGTCTTGACAGGTCTCTATTTCAAATCTGGAGTCCGCCCCGTCTGAGACCGAGACAAGACCGAGTAAAAATGCTTTAGATTCCAAGACAAGACGCCAAAAAAACAAAGTCTTCAAGATAGCTTCTGCAACACGAGGTAACCTCAAGTAACTTTCCCTTTAAACCGCCTCCAAAATTCCCTGATGCTTAACAAATGTCTTTCTTGATGTGAATTTGGAACAATTATTGTTTGCCCCAGTTGGCATCTTGTGATCTAAAGAGTTCTAACGGGCATGTTTTGGCCAGTTTGTCAAAGTTGTTCTGAACATGGTGACATTGCTTGCACACTGACCTCAAGGTCTTGGGTTTAGTTGCGTTCACCTGGATTTAGGCCGACGGTAGACTGAAGACGGTCAAACGTTCTACACAGCTCAGGAAATACAAAACTAATGAGTTTGAGTTTGTTTGTCCAGATTGTCTGATCTCTCTTCAACTGATTAAACAACATGATATAATACATTAGCTTGTATTTTCTGATGGCCCAACCTTTACGTTCTGCTCTCACTTAAAGGTGAACTTAAAGCCGGTCCCTGCAGACGAGTCCAACAGTCGTCCAACAATGACATCGGGGTCCAGTGTTAAAAATGAGCTTTTGTTCTGTTTGTTTGTAAAGACTCGACAGCTGTGAAGTTTGAATTTGGCATAAATTGAAAGAACCATTCAGGCAATCACGATTTAATTATCTAAAAAACACATGTACCTCTTCTCTCATGATCCCATCAGTGGTATAAAACTTTCTGTCTTGTCTACAAAATGAGTGTCATCAATGAAGCCCTTCATTCTGACATGTTAATATCCCTTGACTTCCTCAACCAATGTACAAACTGCTAGGGATGGAAACCCTTAAAAGGCGAGCTGGTTCTGGACTGGATTGTTTAAGCGTCTCCTCGTGTTCAGAGAGCTCCACAGTGTGTGATCAGCATGTTTCCAAACAGCCGGATTAAAATGAAGTCTAAACTCATCTGGTCCATAAAATGCATGTTAATCGCACTTATGAGAGCAAAATGGAGGGCTGGAGTGTGTGTGGTTTTATATCTCCTCTTGAACAGAGTTTTTCCATAAAGGTTCATCATACAGGATTCCACAGAGAAAAAAACTAAACAATCCAGTGTTTAGCAAACACATCCAGATTCACTCTATATTACAACGCTTGAGGTATGGCACCTGCAGAATCTCCCCCGTCACCAGCCTCTGATTGCACTTTGGATAACGACGCCCTCTGTCATCCCTGCAGGTGATAATGGATCTCATTAGGAACGACTTCTGGGACTATGAGGCCGCTCTCTACCACTCGCTCACTCTCTGTGATTAAAATATCTGCGAAAACCTGTATATAAGTGTTTGACTTTAAATTCTGTCGTATAAAAAATTAAAGACATGTCTATATAAGTGACGGTTCCTTTCCACAAACTCGGTTAAATATGAGACAAATACAAATATGAGAGATTGTGAGGCTGCGTTCACACCACCATAAAAACTCTGCTTAGTCCTTCAGCAAATAAAAAAAACATAGAGCATCTGGCTGCCTGAAAATCCAAGGGTTCTCCATTTTGGCATCCGGGAAAGACAGCACCCGAGACCTGGACACGTCCAGTGATGATTCTGGATTCGGATGAGAGTGGTTGCTATCAGGTGGGGCTCTGTCACTGCAAACTTTCCACATTTAAACCAACGCTGTGGGTTAATATTTGTCAGCCCTCAGAGGGCCCCTTGCTGTCCTGGGGCCCCAAGCAGTAACATGCCTTGCCTGTTAAAAAGCAGCGCCTCTGGGACTACTGAGTTGAAGGACTTCTAGACTGATTAGAGACAAACAGTAAATCATGCATCCCAGAGAAAGGCTCTCTTTGCAAAAACAATTTAAGCTAATTGCTCGAGTGTAACTCTAGATCGCCAAGCATATTGGTTCCGGTGTTCAGGGAACAACAAGTGAACATGCCAAGTTTGGCTCGCTGCTAATTGTACAGTGGGTATCTCTAAGATTTCTACTCTGCCCGTGTTGCTGGAGAAACACCAATCAGGAAATCCACTAAGACATTTGGTGCATCCTGATTGGAAGAAATGGTATTACCATCAGGCTTTCCCACTCCTGCAGAGTCCAATTCATTTTTTGGGCATCGAGCGGTTGGACATCTCCAAATTACGCCTGTTTCAGATGTCAAATCCAAAACAGGGAGAAGTTTTATGGACTTGTCTTCAAATGTCTGGAAAGGAGCCCATCGTTTTTTGGCAAGCATTCACACCAATTTGTAAAACTTATGTTTCAATCAAATGCACAAACATAATCGACCCAAACTTCTAGGCTTGCAGAAAATCTGGAATTCCAGTTTTACAAATAATGCTTGAAACACATGATGTAACGAGTGGTGTCCCTTTTCCCACGTCAATATTTAACCCTCCCCGTTAAATCTCTCTTCTGAAGAACCGGCCACTTGAGGGGACTCCAAAGCTGGTCAGGGAATCATTCATGTTTTTTCCATCCAAAAGTTGTTGAAATATTTCCAGCCCAACCACAAAGATGCTGAATGTCCCACAATGCTCTTTTTAGCCGTCCCTCCTGCTCCAACGGGCTGCTTGTGTTGGCAAACCCACCACATGGGATCACACGAGCATTTGTCACATTCAGGGTTTGTGCTTGAGGGCTGAGTAGTGTTGGCTCAGAGACGGCGATAATGTGACACTCAACAGCCAAACTCTCATTTGACTCCAAAATCCCAATACGAGAGGTTTCTGGGACCAGTACAGTTTTACACAACCCAACAAGGCCGGTCTTTGGTGACTCCGTTACCGCACTGGAAAAACACAAAATTTAATAGACGTTTTTTGAGCAGTTGGTGTGATTGCAGCCTTACAATCTCTCCTTCCTTCCATTTTTTTTTACAAACTGAGACTCCTCACCTGGACAGTTCTGATGCCAAATACAAAAAACAAAAAGTCTATAAAAAGCAACAACCCACCAAGCTGTGTGTAAAATAAGATCCTGATAAAAATCCTCTCGCGTCGTCGTTGGATGATAACGTTTACAGTTGACGTAAGAAAGTGAATGTAGACTTTTCAAAAACAATGAATATTATAGATTTAATACAAATGAAGAAAAAAAACTTGTGATCATTTTCATCCGATGCTGGAGATATATATAGGGTTGGTACAGAGGTGCATAACAGTAGGTGTCCGACACTAAAAATGTCCCTACAGTGGTGCATCATGGGTAGTCGTTTACAACGATGAGTTGTGGAGAGACATCGTTTAATTTCGGCACTTAGAAAACAATCACAATGAATTTCGCGTCATTGTTTCATATTGAACAAAATTTACAAAGCCATTCAAACAGTCATAATGTTTTCATCAATGTATAGATATTTTTTTTTTATCTCGTTTTTGTTTTTTATTACTCAACTTCAAAAAATTGAGAATATTCAAAATACACTTTAACCTCACTTCGTTCTCTTGGTATTTACACGTATGTACAAGAGAAAAAATTACACCCGCCACCCCCATCCCCATTTTTTTTTGTTTTTATGTAACATCTGCTTTTCTGAACAGGAAGTGAGATAAAAAATCTTTTTTCTTTGTACATATATGTTTTTCCTTCTGTAATAATTTTCCTTCAGAGTAAGCAGAGTCGCATCAGAAACCAGACCAGAGTCCAGAGAGCGACTGATCGTTGATGCAGTTTGAGCCCCTCCTGTTTGGGATCTATATGGAGGTACTGTGGGTGGCATCAATGACTTCGGGTATGGGTCCTCCGGAGACTGCCTGGTAGGACATTGGCATGGGTGTCTTGCCAGGGCTCTGCCGGAAGAGCCCCCCGTTGGGCGCCCTGTGTTTGCACTGCATGGTGCCGCTGCTGAGAGGGTGGTGCAGGAGCAACGTGTTGCTGCCAGGGCCCTGGGACGGAGGTAGCGTCCTGCCTAGAGTCCCCCCATGGTGAGGATGCGGGGGAGGTGGTGCCCCCTCCCCGGGGAGGAAGGTGGTCACACCGAGGCCCGGGTAGTCCCGCACGGACTCCGGCCCCCCCACCAGAGAGGCTTGGCTGGGCTGCACTCTGCCGATGTCCAGCGCAGAGATCTCGATAGAGGGGCCGGGGATCTGCTTGTGGGCCAAGTCCTCGTCCAAAAGACTGTTCATACGACGGTGCACCTGTTCCAGATTCACCTCCTTGTCCTACAAAAGGAGGATTTGGGGGGGTGGGGGGTGGAAGAGGACAGAGGGGAGACAAAGGGGAGGGGGGGGGGGGGGGGAGGGACACAGAGGCTGAGATTGGCGATGGGCCGGTTTCTCAGACTGTTTCAGGTCTGCTGCTGCTCCATGCATTTTAAGCCTGTCAGCGTTTTTTGGCTCGGCCTTTTAGATTTACAGACTTCCATCAAGATGCCGGCTGATGGTCAGCATCTTGATGCTTTTTGGCGTTTGGTATGAAGAGCCCAGTGGGAACTGAGGCCACAGAAACCAATTGGTATGTGCACCTTGAAATCAAACTTGGCCAGAGAATATTAAAGGTTCGATGTCTGGAGTAAAACAATCCTGGAGCCAAACTGACTGAAGGTCGATTGTTGTAAAGCTGTTGGAAGCGGACTCCTCTTTACTCCGTCTGCATGTAAGCAAAACACCTCAAGGTTTTCATGAGACGTGTCGGACTGAGAGAAGTCTGCTAAAGGAACAATTGATTTTGGATTTAATCAAGGTCTTGAATTCCTGCTGGAACACTTTCAAGTATAAAAGAAGCCGATCGAGTCTGAGGTAGATTTGGATGCACAGCCAGGAATTCATTAAAGTTACAATCCAAACTATACGAGGATGATTTAAAGGTTAAATAAGTCACGCTGTGGCTGAGGTGAGAATATGTACATTTGTGTTCCCCTCCCCCTCTGTGGTGAATCTTCCTCCGCTGCCCTTGGAGCGAGTACACTCTGTGCAGGAGGATCGGAGAATTGGTTCGCTTTCAGAACAATTTAATCAAAACATTGGCTGACACTGCATCTCCTGTTGACTGCAGCCATGCATACTTGTTAGGCATTAATAGAGACTTGAGTGTTTCCCTGTTGAACCGCCAGGTCTGCTACAGCACGCTGGGTCACGGGAAGGTAAAGGACGAGCGGCAGAGAGGGAGAGACGAGGCCTGACTCGCATTCCAAGTGAGGCCTCGGGTCTGGATCCAGATTCTCGACACGTCTTGAGTGTTTGTTTGCTACGTGCATGAACGCAGATACAACGAGAGCGGGGAGTAAAAAATGTTTGAGGTCGGTCATTGTTCCTGCACGCAGCCTGGCTTGGCTCCAGCATCGGATTCACTTTTTACTCAGAGGAACAATGATATTAGTCACAGTAACTCATCACAGTGACATTCAAAACAAGGCACAAGACACAGTTATACTAAAGATTAATGCACACAGAGTCACATGGTGCTGATGCTACAACACCCGACGTCCCCGATGGTTTGAAGATAAGGTTTGTTGATTTAGTCTTTTAATACGTTTTTTAATGTTAAGATCTTTAAAGGCTTTATATGTGATTTTTCACACTTAAATGTAGAAATCAAGTATATCCTCTGAAAACTCTGAGTCATATCTGTATACAATGGGTGTAACACCCGAGTCCCACTGTCTGTGATGTTTTCAGAGTTTTCAGAGTCCTATCTTCACGTATAAAAGATACATATTAAAGTTGTTTAATTGAGGGACTAGAGAAAAGAAGAATAACATACTGTACTCACTGCTTAACTGTGTTTCTAGATCACGCTCATTTCAGGTAAATTTACATGCAGTGTGAAGATACCAGCATAATAAAGATCACTAGCATTAGCATGCTAACAGAACAATGCAGAGCGAGTTGTTTGGTTTCATGCTGGTGCTCAAGGGCGACATCTGCTGGATCAAAAAATCTCATATAAAGCCTTTAAGATTCTTGATTAGATGGTGTCTGCAACACAATGCAGAAGCTCATAAGTTAAGAGTTATAAAGTTAAGAGTCGTGTTTTGATGTTTTTATTTTCAAAGCAGCAACACTACGTTTGGTGTTTTTGGAGGTTAGCCTTTAATGCTACCGTCTACAGCATCTTTGATCATCAAGTCATCAGCGCTAACAAAAAACCAAGATGGTCGCCACAATTACGACCTCTCACCGATCGTCAACGAACCAATGAGGGACGTACCACCATCTTTATCTCACATTCACAGAGGCCTTCAGGTGCTGTCCACCTGGCGTTTGTCTGAGCGCTCATGAGTGTTTGCATGAAGCGTTTTTGCGCTGCGCCGTCTCAACTGCACAGATTTGTAGGCAACAAACGATTCCAGCTTTTTAGTACAATGCAGACACTGCTCCTTCTCTTTTACTTGTGGCAACTTTTGGTTAAATTCCCCGACTGAAGATCTGTGGTTTTTAAAAAACACGGGTTGTATCGTTTAAAAACTTGAGGTGTCTAAAAATGGTGAACATTTTGACAACCCTAGGTCAAAGTTCAGAGCACTGACTCTAAAGCTTTTAATGTAAACATGTAAAGTCCACAAAAGACAGAAGAAGTCTGTGTGGTGATGTTAGGCAGGAGCACCAACGAAGAAGAAAAAGATATAAATAGAAACCCAGGAGGACGACAAGAGGCAGATTAAAGTAGCAGACGTTGCTCTTCAGGATTAAGTCTTTACGTTGAGGTAGAGTGAAGAGCAACCTCCAAGTCTCAGGTCTTCTCGACACTCTGCGGTCGAGTGCCGCCGAGGCTAAGCATCCATCTCCAGCCTTTGTTTGAACCGTAAAAAGATGCAGGGCGAGTTTATCCAGGAGGTCGGCGCACGTTGGAACGATCCTTCTCCAGAAGAAACTCTCAGAGCCAATTAAAACATCTCAGCGCAGGTTATTGTTTGAGCGGACTGCCGTCTTATTAAAATATTTTTTCAGCTGCGTCAATCTGGCAGCGAGCCAAAATAAATAAATGCCAGGGATTAAACCTCAGCCGGTCGTTAAAGACGGGCCGGTGATGTAAGAGGAGAGGGAGAGAACAAGCGGCGTGTGAAAGCCTCCATTAATTTAGCAAACAAACAGCTCTTTTAATGAGGGCTGCCAGTGGGGGGGATCTTAAATCACTCTCCCTCCTGCTGCTCTGTGAACACTGCAACTGTTGAGTGGGCCGTGCTCGAGTGTGATAAGAACACTTTGTGGTCGGTTCTGGTTCATTTTGGATTTAAGTGCTCCTCAGGAAACATCGGAAGCCCTTTAGCGAGGAACTCTTCTTCTATAAGAGGCCGCCTTTGATAAAACATCTTTTGCTACAAGACGAGTACAATCTGACCGCCTACACGCCTACACCCCCCCCCCCCGTGGGCAGCGGTGATGAAGTTTAATCTAAATGTGCAGATTGGATATTTCTCAGAGGCACTCATCTTCTCAGCAATTCATGACTGAAGCCATTTAAATGGTGAAGTGATGTTAAACGGAGAGTCTGCAAATAGGAGCTAATAAACTCCTTACACTAACACCGTGTCCTAAAAGCATGCAAGCGATATATATCACTTAACACCGGGCTTGATTGCACGCTTTCACGCTCACTGTCCACACTGCATCCATTAAATATTTAATTCTCTGCTCTGTCAATTTCAGTATCCCTCCCCTTGCACAGAGTATGACATCTAGTGCTTTTATTTTGCAGGGGGACAAATAGAAGTGTGGTGCTTTTATTTTGGAGGGGGAATAAATTGAAGTGTGGTGCTTTTATTTTGAAGGGGGATAAACTGAAGTGTGGTGCTTTTATTTTGAAAGGGGACTAACTGAAGTGTGGTGCGCCACCGTTCTTTTCCTGTTATCCTGATTCATGAACCATAGTATTGAAGAATTAAAGGTTTGACCCTGTGATGGCTCGGGGTCAGAGGTCATTAAGTCACCCTGTTGGAAAGGCGACCGTCTAAAACCAACTATCCTTCCAACGGTTGCTAAGATCTTTCTTTTTTCACCAAATAGTTTCAATAATTTTATTTTATAAGAGTCCTGATGCGACCTTTCCTCCGCTCATTTTAACGTGCTTTAAGTCTCTCGACTCTCCACTCAGGTAAAGTTTTATCCGGCTTTGAGTCACGTTGGTTTCCAAACAGATAAACACCATTACTACTGAGAAAATGTCAAATTACCTCTGGAGAGTGGTTCTGAAACAATCAGCACTGAGTCATGCGGTGGCATAAGAGAACTTTACTTCTCAAAACATGATTGAAAAACGAGTTTTATCAGGTCAGAATGAGTCACTTATTAACTCTCCCCTCAGATTTGTCTGGCTTGTTTGTGATGAGCTAAATGGCAAACTCAAAGTTTGTGACTAAAGTTTAGAAAACATCATTCTGTGAGGTTTCATTTGTGAGTCAGTGAAGTGGCAGTGCGAAGTATTCAGGCTGTTTGGTTCCAGTGTTGCAGCTGATTAAAAAAAAATGTGCCTCTGAGAAACGTCTGTGCGCTCAGATTAGATTGGAGAATGGTGTTGCTGCTGCTCCGATGACTCATCAAATGGACGTCTTTTAGGTTCTGCGATATATCACATTTCTATTTTGAAAAAAGACTCTGCTTGTTCTGCTTTCTGAAGACCGGCAACACATCTTGTCGTGCACTTTTAAAGGTTTTACAAACGGGAATTGAGATGTAAACACAGAAAAAAACAAAAGTGGAGAAGCTGACCTCCGTTTGGTAGGGGGAGGGGTCTCCGAAGCGGTAACAGGCACACTCATGTGGGAGGGGTTAAGGTGGAAGTCCTGCACAGGTTTGCTGGGAGAGAAAATCCACTACAGTTTACAGCTTTCTTTCACTTTCTTTCTTTACTGTGAATCAATATGTTTAAAGACCCCTCCCCCTACCAAACGGAGGTCAGCTGCTCCACAGTCATTTTGTCTATAATTCGTTGACACACAGTTAGCACGCCAGCTACTGTCCATAGATTGAGTTGTAAAAGTTGTGTGAAAGGCACTTTGTTTGTTTACAGCAATTCTCGTGATTTTCGTCACAGTTTCACAGTTTGTTCAGCTGAAAACGCCCAAAAAACAGGTAAAAGTGAGGCGAGTCTGTACGAAACGCTCGCCACAGTAAAAGATGAAACAAAGCAAGAAGAAACAGAGAGGCCCTAGAAGAACCAGGGGGAGGGGGTGGGGGGTGTCTGATGACGGGGGGATTCAGTGTTTAAGGTGAGCGAAGCCCTCAGGAGCCTCCACGGCCAGACATCAATTACAACGGTAATTATCGTATCGTCTGCATAGAGGAGCAGCCCAAATTCAAATCAATTGCAATTAAAGCCGAGCTGTCTGTTTCAGAACATCAACCAAATTAATTTAGACTTTTGTCTTCCCTTTGGAACAGCTTTAGCGTCCGGATCTGGAAATAATCTCCTGTTCAACTCTCTGATAGGTAAAGAGATCCAACGGCTAAAAATCTTTTCTTCATCAGCGTTAAAGAAAGTTTAATGAGCCACCAGAAACTTTAAACTTTTGTTATGTATCATTTTTGTTGTTGAGTTTTTACGTCACCTTAAACATTTCCAACAGTTATCTTGGACTTGTCTCGACACATTGATAAAAACGTCATGTAGATTAAACTTGGATACATTAACTCGTCTGTAAACATATTCTCTTCCTCAGGTCGGTTTCACCCGGTCGTCATGACTACAGTCAACCCTGGAGTTCGTTTTCGTCGGTGGAAAGTAGCAGATAGAATCACTCCCATGATTCCCCGCCAGCCTCAACGTCATCTTTTGTTATTGTTTTGTTTGAGAGCCCCCTGGTGGTGAAACTTACATACTGCGCCTTTAAGGTCTAAATCTGGGGATTAAGGTACGACATCACCTGCTACATGTGTTAAATCTCCTGTGTTAATGTAAAACTAAGGGTGTACAGAGTTAATTTGTTACGGTTAAAAAGATTTGCGAGGCTCTACGGGAAAATGAGAAATGTATCCTTTAACCTTTGACGTAAACAGTCCAAATCAGAGATTTATTCCAAGAACCTTTGCAGCAAAAATAAAGATACGAGGCATGTTTCCACTCAGTTTAGACTCAAGAAAATCACAGATATATATATATGTTATTTTTCACTTATTTTGGATGGTTATGTATGAGGTCTAGTCTGACCTGTATCAATAGCTTCTGCTTCATCCCAGCCTCTCTCTCTGTCTGTCCAAATGTCCCTCTTCCCCTCCGATGAAGCAGTTGTTATGTCATTATATGTCAATGGACCAGAAACCCTTGCCAGTCTGTAATCCTTAGTAACCTGCACGAGATCATAGACAGTCAAGTGTAAATATAAAAAAATGGAAAGGGATAGATGGAGAGAAGAAGGGTAGATAGATCACATGGGTGTCCACATTGACATATAATTTGCAATAAGACGTGACACAGTGACAGAACCAGGGGTTATGGACCGGGATGTTGGAGACAATCTTATTGCTAAAGGGCGACACACCCACTGCGCACTGCCTGCTCACACTTTAGTTTATGGATCCATATCAAAGCTTTGCCTCGTGGTTTGTTTGCCCTGTGCGCTGATGACATACATGTTTGTGTTGAGGTGTATCTCTGGTGATCGGAGGTGAATGTCTGGAGGTAGAACTTATAAACACAGGTCAGAGGTCGGTCTATGTTCGAGTGCTTAAAACGTCTCAGTTCCACATTATATACTTATTATGGTCTGGTGTACGCTAGGGCTTCACAATTGCCTCGCTATCACAACATGAGCGTTCACAGTAGTTTGTGATAAGCACATCGTAAAAGTGAAAGTCAGATTAATTGGTGCACATTCAGCGGTTAACTTCCTGCGTCCGTATTCAAAAAACATCCTGAGCGTCCTCCCAGAGAGCTCCTGACTCAGCTCAAAGAACCAGAGCGAGAACTTTTAACCTCGGAGTGATTGAGGAACATTCTCAGAGCGACTCTGAGCGAGGACGAGACAGAAACTAGATTCATTTATTTATAACACTGTACTTTCAGCGGGCACAGTGCAGATTGTTTAAATCACTGCCGGGGGCGCCGGTAGTCTAGAGGTTAGTTTGCGCCCCCCCCATGTACGGAGGCTATAGTCGTCCAAGGGTTCTAATCCGACCTGTGGCTCCTCGATTTCTGACTCCACTGTCCTATCAAAACAAAGGCACACAAATAAAAATCTTTATACTTAAAAGCTGATTAAAATAAGTAGATAGTCTGGGACTGAGACGGACGACGACGTCTTTTAAAGGGGGGCAGGCTTTACACTTTATGTGTCTAAATGTTTGGTAACTTAAATTTACTGCTCACATGACTCCATCCGAGCTTTCTTTAAGAACTTCATTGTCAGCTTTCATCAATAATCGATTCAAGGGAATACAATCTTTAAATCCTGTCAAACAGGAAGTAATCGCTCAGCTGTGGTGAAAGCGTGTTTCCTGTTTAACAGAGAGGTCCGCATGAGGCACTTTGTAAGGTTTCAGAGTCTCTGAGCGTCGACCGATAGCGATCTGCACGGACTGATGGTGAAACTGTTCATGTCTACACTCAGGGCGAGCTGCACTTTCACATTATTTTATCTTTGCTTCATAAAGATTTCAGAAGTGTGTCCGTAGTTTTTACAGTTCTCTCTCTCTCCTGCTGATTTTAATCTCTGTGCAGAAAACGAGCAAAGTTAAACTACGACGGAGTCTGGATCTCCTGAATGCTCTGAACAGAAACATGTAGGACTCGGCAGGTGCTTAAGGCCTCAAGTGTTTGATTCAAGGCAAAGGAAACGCCTCCCGAGTGGATCAGGAGCGGCTGCTTTATGAGCGTATTAGTAAAGGTAATGGTCAGGTGCTTTGTGTGTTTAGAGAGCGTGCCAAACGAAAAACAGATGAGCTCGGGGATCTGTAAGTTCAGGGCGATGTGGGTGGGGAGTGATGGCAGATAAAAGAAAAAATGGAGGGGGGGAATCAAGGCGACCAAATTTGATTTCAATCAGTGTCCTGAAGTGGCACAGAGCTGCTCTGTCCTGCCTCACCGCCCTCTGTCCCCCGGCTCTCCCGCTCTAACTCTACCCTCCTCTACAGCTGGGTGTACTGCAGCTCCACTAAGTCTGGGCTGGCGTCTGCAGCTGGATCCTTAAAGTAGAGTGTGGCAGTGTCCTCCCCCCGCTGGCCCGTCCGCCGCGCCCTGTGCTCGGTCACCTCTTTGGGCTGCTCCTGGCGGCAGCGGTTGCTGTTCCACCACGCCTCCAGCCCGGCCACAAGGCAGGCCAGCAGCAGGCCCGCGGCCAGGATGCAGAAGACACCGGCAAAGCTGTGCAGCTTGAGGGAGCGGCCATCTGGGTGGGCGCTGGCGTGGCTGCTGAGGTCACAGCGGCCGGTGCGAGGCCACCACTTCTGTTTCATGATGTCCAGGTCGCCTTTCTCCTGAAGCTCCAAGATCCTGAAGAGGAGAAGACATGAGCATGTGTTTTAATTTATAGTCTAGAGTCCCATCTGGTAACATGGAGGAGGCAGGGTTTATGACCTATACTGCAGCCAGTCACCAGGGGGAGACTGGCTGACTGGCTAAAAACCAAAGTCCAGCGCAATGAGGGCGCACCTTTCCTGTCCGGTCTCTGACCTGACACATCCTTTAAAAAGGACACACCAGTTAGTGACCATCTCCCGGTGTGATCCTGCGAGCACGCCGCTCTCTCGTTGTGTTGAGTTATAGAGTTAATTAAGCAAACTCTGCCGTGACCACCGAAGAACAATCTGCTTTTAGCTGCAGTAAAAATCACAGCCCAATTTGCTATATTTAATCTGCTCAGCTCAGCATGAACATGTTGAAGGTCAGCGCGCTGTCGTTTCCCCCCCCCCCCGCCATCCCCCCGTACCACACCCCGAGGACAAAACAGTTCCCCAGCACAAGCGAGGAAACAAAGTCCGCCGAGGTTATTAACGGCGGGATTATGAAATGGAAAGCCGGGGACAGAGGTACTACAGCAGTTATGGGACGAGGTATTAAAATGATGGTTGAACTGTGGAGATAATGGCTTCCTCGCTGAACAATAGCTCCACCCTCCATTTAACACTCGGACACATTATTCCTCGACGTCCCCGGGCGCTTTGCTGCGAGGACGCCGCGGGCCGCTGGATGCCTGCTGAGCCGAGCCGGGTACATGAAAAAACTTCATCAATAAGAAACGGGATTAATCCCTGAATAAACACAGGACGGACTAATGATGGAGGAGGAGGAGGAGAGAGAGAGGAAGAAGAGGAGGAAGAGGAGGAGGAGAGAGAGAGGAAGAAGAGGAGGAAGAGGAGGAGGAGAGAGAGATGAAGAAGAGGAGGAAGACGAGGAGGAAGAGGGGAGGAGGAGGAGAGAGAGAGGAAGAAGAGGAGAAAGAGGAGGAGGAGGAGGAGAGAGAGAGGAAGAAGAGGAGGAAGACGAGGAGGAAGACGAGGAGGAGGAGGAAGAGGAGGAGAGCGAGAGGAAGAAGAGGAGGAGGAAGAGGAGGAGAGAGAGAGGAAGAGGAAGAGGAAGAGGAGGAGGAAGAGGAGGAGAGAGAGGAAGAAGAGGAGGAGGAAGAGGAGGAAGAGGAGGAGGAAGAGGAGGAGAGAGAGAGGAAGAAGAGGAGGAGGAAGAGGAGGAGGAAGAGGAGGAAGAGGAAGGAGGAGGAAGAGGAAGAGGAAGAGGAAGAGGTAGAGGAGGAAGAGGAAGAGGAAAGGAAGAGGAGGAGGAAGAGGAGGAAGAGGAAGAGGAGGAAGAGGAAGAGGAGGAGGAGGAGGAAGAGGAAGAGGTAGAGGAGGAAGAGGAAGAGGAAGAGGAAGAGGAAGAGGTAGAGGAGGAAGAGGAAGAGGAAGAGGAAGAGGAAGAGGAAGAGGTAGAGGAGGAAGAGGAAGAGGAAGAGGAGGAGTTGATGATCATCAACAGATGATGTCACCTGAAAGTTTCCACGATGGTTTTGATTTCTGCTGAAATGTTTTAAAACTTTACAAACATGAAGTCTATAATCTGTGTTTCCTCCTGAGCTGCTGACAGGATAAGAGAAGATCACAAAGCTGAAGACGGGGAGGAGACGGGGAGGAGACGGGGAGGAGACGGGGAGGAGACAGGGAGGAGACGGGGAGGAGACGGGGAGGAGACGGGGAGGAGACGGGGAGGAGACTGGGAGGAGACGGGGAGGATACGGGGAGGAGACGGGGAGGATACGGGGAGACGGGGAGGAGACGGGGAGGAGACAGGGAGGAGACGGGGAGGAGACAGGGAGGAGACGGGGAGGAGACGGGGAGGAGACGGGGAGGAGACGGGGAGGAGACGGGGAGGAGACGGGGAGGAGACGGGAGGAGACAGGGAGGATACAGGGAGGAGATGGGGAGGAGACGGGGAGGAGACAGGGAGGAGACAGGGAGGAGACAGGGAGGAGACGGGGGTCAACAGGAGAGGACGTGGGGGGGTCGTAGAAGTGCTCAGATCGGGGAGGTGTAAAGGTCATTTTGCGGCGGCGTCGCACAAACACGCAGAGAGAGGATCTGATCGCACAGCAGCTCGTCTGCTAACACACACACATAGACACACATAGACACACACACACACACACACACACACACACACACACACACACAGATTCACGGCGGTTTGTGCGTGGAGGAGGTGGTGATGGCGTGCTGCAGACATCAAACAGTCGTCTCCAGCTGTGAGCGGCTCTATGAGAAACTGCTCTTCTTATAACTTCATACAGAGTTCAGAGCGGCTCCTCAGGACTCAGACCCCCCGCTGCGTTTCAATCCAGACAGCCAATCACAGACGCTTTCACACCTGAGAGGCCAGGTGCAGACCCCCCGCCCCTGCCCCCCCGCTGAGCCAGGAGACGCACATGGCGCTTAACTGAAACTCCACCGGCAGCTCTCAATAGAAAGTCTTGAGTCTTGTGGACAAATCAGTCCTGAGCTCCAAGCAGGAAGAGCTCGGACTTATTGAACATGGCGATATTAATGTGGCAAAACTATTTGAATATGCACACACAGATCCACAAATGTGTTAAAAGATCCACAAATCCACCAATTTCCAAAAATGTACTTATTTATTAATGGCAGTGAACTTTCTCAGCTGTAAATCCTGAAAATAAACACAAATGAGCTCTTACAGGTGAGGCGGGCCTCTCCATTGGCTGTCATTCTACACACTTTTGACTTTTGCAACATTCCCACCGTGCAAGATCCACAAATGAGTACACATATCTTCAAATGTGTGTGTGACGATCTGCAAACACATCAGTGGGGTTTGTTGCCCTGAGCGCAGGCTCACAGGCTGCCAGGCTGCGTACCGCTTTGCCCGCACTGTACAGGAAACACATTTCAAAAACAGAAACTACTGTACATAACGGACCCTCCATCGTAGCCTCCTCAGTAAAATAGTCACTGGGTGCTACCGCCTGGCAGCCTGTGAGCCTGAGCTCAGGGCAACAAACCCCACTAATGTGTTTGCAGATCGTCACACACACATTTGAAGATATTTGTTTACGCATTTGTGGATCTTGCATGGTGGGAGTGTTGCAAAAGTCACGTGTAAAATGACAGCCAATGGCGAGGCCCGCCTCAGCTGTAAGCGATCGTTTGTATTTATTTTCAGGATTAACAGCTAAAAAACTCACTGCCATTAATAAACAAGTAAATATTTAGAAATCTGTCTACATATAGAATAGAATAGAATAGATGTTTATTGCCATTTGCACAGGTACAGGACAGTACAGGTACATTGGAATTTTTGTGTGTTTCTCCCTGAGTCAGCCTCCACAAAAAAAATTATATATAAAATAGAAAAGCATTATAAGAAAAGAAGAGTAGAAAAGTACAAATAAAGTAAATAAATAAGTTGTAGTAAGAGCTAAGTGATTTAAAATAAACTGTACAGAAGCTATACACTGTATTAAAGCAAAGATATAATACAAAAGAATAACAAAGGGGAACACTGTACAAGGAAACGAAAATATAAATATGTTTTCTTGTTTTATTTGCAGATTAATTTACACATTTGTGGATCTGTGTACACATATTCAAATGGTCTTGCCACAATAATCGCTCTATAATTTAAACCATCAGTACGACTCTCCTGTCTGTGTTTTCACTTTATTTCTGTTGTTGCACAGAAACAATCCCGCTCGTTTCACCTCGACTGTTTTTTTTACTCTCTGACGGAAATATCGACTTCCTGCTGAATAACTTTGTCCTCTCATGTTTTTCCTCTCACAGCCGCTTCCTGTCTGCTTCCCGATCGATACGAGACGCATGAGAAGTTTTCACATTTTGTTCCGGAGCTTATTGGACTTCCTCCTCGCTCTGTTAATGTGTGATGTCATAATGTGGAGGGTTTACTCAATGATGTTTTTAAAAACTCACACGGGGATTAATTTGTGTTTTGGGAATAAGAAGAGGACGAAGAAGAAGGAGGAGGAGGAGGAGAAGGAGAGGGAGAAGAAGGAGAAGGAGAAGGAGAAGAAGAAGGAGAAGGAGAAGGAGAAGAAGAAGGAGAAGGAGAAGGAGAAGGAGAAGGAGGAGAAGAGGAGTGGAGGTTTCGCTCTGCTGCTCGCTGATAATTGAATTTCTTCCAAACTTCCATCTGCTCACAAAATCAAATAAGTAATTAGCCCACGTCCCCGTGTTTACACATCTCGCCGTGAATAATCCCTTTAGCTCCTCTCAGCACACTTTTCATGCGAGCTTGTTTTGGTGGAACTTATTCGACTTAAGCGTCTGGCGCTCGTTTAGATTTAACGCTGCGTAAATCTGCCTGCAGGGGGCGTTTCCCCGCTCACATACAAAACACCTTTTTAACCCCCGATGTGCCTCGTCTCGTCCTTCAGTAAACCGGTTGTCAGAGCGCTGTGATCGCCTCACGCAGCATCAGAGGATTAACAGGCTGATAATGAAGACGATCAAACTCTGACACAGAGCTTCATCACGGACGCCATCTTTGTTTCATCAAACTATAAAACTACAAACGCTGTCATCCGACGCCCTGATCAGAGCGAGCGAATCAAAGAGTGAGTTTCATCACCTTCTGCTGCTGAGAGTCGATCAAAGCTGAGACGTTAAATAATCCTTCATGCAATAAGACGACGACTTCTCGAGTACTGAGTATTAAGTTATCGTGTCGGTGCGTCTCAGAGTGTGGAGGACTTACTTCTGGGAGAACAGGTCTCTGTAGGGGCTGCCGTGCTGCATGGCGATGCCGTAGCCTTTGCTGCTCATGCCGTTTCCGGACACGGTGATGGTGCAGTCGTCGTCCGTCAGCGCCGCGTACTCCAGCACCGCCATGTCCCACAGGAAGGCGTACGGACTCTTCTTCGCCTGCAGACACAGAGTGAGGGCAAAGAAAAACCCAAACCGTGAAGCACAGGTCACCAGGCTTCCCTGACCTCTGACCCCTGACCCAGCCTGGATAATAGTTTCACTTTTAGTCTTTATTCTTCTTCTGTCTGTAAACTGTCGACTCTTCACTTTTTCTTCACGGTAATAAACTGGAACGTTTCTTCAAAACGGATCGTGAAGCGTGCGCTCCCTCAAACACATCAAACATGTTAAATCTTTAGGATTCAGTGGTGCCATGCTTTCATCCGAGCAGATCGGATCAGAACAAACTCAAATTGCACGACAATCAGACATCATGACCTTTAATGTAATGCATAAATGCACAAATTTCCCCCACGGGGAATCAATAAAGTTTATCTTTACTTTAGACCCGTCAGAGTTGTAGTGTGACCACACAGCATGGCGCCGCATTCCAACCACGCTGCCTCGCACGCTGCCTCGCACGCTGCCTCGCACGCTGCCTCGCACGCTGCCTCGCACGCTTCACTTCCTTTTTTAAATCTTAACCTCTTTATTCTGGAGTTTCACCGTGTGTTTGTCCAGAATCTTTCATGCTGGTATTCTTTGACCCGGATCAGCACCTTAATAAAAGTTCTGTTTTATATCATAACTTTCATAAACAACTGTACTCAGAACTGATGTGAACGCTTCCCCATCTCTCTCTGTCTCTCTCTCTCTCTCTCTCTCTGTCTGTCTGTCTCTGTCTCTCTCTCTCTCTGTCTCTCTCTATCTCTGTCTCTCTCTCTCTCTCTCTGTCTCTCTCTGTCTGTCTCTCTCTCTCTCTCTCTCTGTCTCTCTCTGTCTCTGTCTCTGTCTCTCTCTCTCTCTCTCTGTCTCTCTCTGTCTCTCTCTCTCTCTGTCTCTGTCTCTCTCTCCGCTCTCTCACTCTCTCTCACTCTCTCTCTCTGTCGCTCTCTCTCACTCTCCCTCTCTCTCTCTCTCTCACTCTCTCTCTCTCTTTCTCTCTCTCTCTCACTCTCTCACTCTCCCTCTCTCTCTCTCTCTCTCTCTCTCTCTCTCTCTCTTTCTCTCTCTCTCTCACTCTCTCTCTCTCTCTCTCTCTCTCTCTCTCTCTCTCTCTCTCTTTCTCTCTGTCTCTCAGCGTGTGGGGAAAAGCACTCGACGGTTGCAATAAAAGTGATCAAAAAGCGTAAGTGTGTGTGTGTGTGTGTGTGTGGTGTGTGTGTGTGTGTGTGTGTGTGTGTGTGTGTGTGTGTGTGTTTGGGGTTACTGCGGGGAGAATACGTCACAGAGAACAGGCGGGGGTGTTTATCATGCAAATGGCTGAATAATGGATCCGCTCAGAGTCGATTTGACTCTAATGCTAATTTGTCATCAGCTTTTTGGGAGATCTATGAGAATAATAACATGGAGGACGCACACACACACACACACACACACACACACACACACACACACACACACACTCACTCACACTAACACACACACACCACACTCACACACTCAGTAATTGGTGTATTGCAGAACTTCAGCTGCAATTAAATAATGGGTAAACAGTTAGAACGTTTGCCTGCTGTGCATAAAAAGTGTGTGTGTGTGTGTGTGTGTTAGTGTGTGTGTGTGTGTGTGTGTGTGTGTGTGTGTGTGTGTGTGCTTCACTTACACACATTTAACCTGAAATTAAGAATGCTCATTCTTTTATCACCCATCTCCTTCACGCTCGTGACTGATCGATGCTCTCACCACGATTATGTTTCCTCCCAGTGTTTCCCCTACCATTATATAAGGGGGGCGGCCCACCCCCCCCAACGGCCCCCTCGCCCCCCTTGAAGGTCAAGTTAATAAAAAATTATATGAATATTTCACTGCTCCCCCCCCTCAAAAAAAGCCCCAAAATAAATTTCAGGAAAACAGTGTTATTGTGGGAATCATACAGAATTATTTCTGTGAAACACATGAACACCAGGGGCGTGTCCAGAGGGGGCGTGTCCAGAGGGGCATGTCCAGAGGGGGCGTGTCCAGAGGGGGCAGCATGGGCCCCCCCTTGAAATCTGATTGGCCACCCCAGGTCCCAGCCCAAAATCCAAATCTATTTTTGGCTATTTGCCTACACAATGTCTTGCACAGAATTGGCTCAGGGGGGTTGGCACGAAAACGTTCTTTTAAAGTCGGGGATAAAAAAATGTGGCCGTTTGCCTTCTGCACCTCAACATGAAAGAGTTTTGGATATTTGGCTCAAGTGTAAAATTAAAGCTCCGCAAATTAAAGATATATATTCTATTTTAGAAAATATTTGTGGAGGAGTTTTTAAAGAGTCACGTCTGGAGCAGGATCCAACCAGCATGGAGCTAAGAGTCATGGAAGTCATGTGATGTTTCTCACTTAAATGTAGAAATCAAGTATCTCCTCTGAAAATAACTCTGTGAGTCATGACTGTCTACAATGGGTGTAACACCCGAGTCCCACTGTCTGTGATGTTTTCAGAGTTTTCAGAGTCCTATCTTCACTTTGTTTACATCGCCGGGACGGCCGGCTGACTCCTCCCCTCGTGTATAAAAGTTGTTTAATTGAGGGACTAGAGAAAAGAAGAATAACATACTGTACTCACTGCTTAACTGTGTTTCTAGATCACGCTCATTTCAGGTAAATTTACATGCAGTGTGAAGATACCAGCAGAATAAAGATCGCTAGCATTAGCATGCTAACACAACAATGCAGCGCCAGTTGTTTTGGTTTCATGCTGGAGCTCAAGGGCGACATCTGCTGGATCAAAAAATCACATATACAGAGTTTAAGTATAAGGAGACTTTCCTGTCTGTGACTCGTTTTCATGACTTATAATACTAAACATCACCGTCCCTTCCATTTTCCTCCGTTTAACCACGGACAGAGACGCTCGGCGTTACCTTGCGGATGCCCTCCGACGGGCTGGACACGGAGTAGTCCATGCCGCTGTTCTTGCTGATGGTCCTCCACAGCTCGGCGTACGTGCTGTCCTGCTCCAGGGGGTTGGTGCCTTTGTTCCTGAAGTAGTCGTAGACCGCCGAGTCCCTCACCGTGCCGTAGTCCACGTCGATCTGCCGCGCCAAGTCCTGGAACGACCTGCAGGAAGCAACGCGGAGACACGAGTCAGAAGCTGGATTTATCCAGTCTAAATCCAGATTCTGGATTGGATTTTTGTTTTTTATTCGCTGTTCACACCAAAAAATAAAACCCCAAAGTCGACCTTTAAAGAAACCAAAACTCTGCTTCAACAACAACGTGCTGCGTTCTTTCAGCGTCACCGTTTTGCTCGGTCCAACAGCGAGCGGCCTGAAATTATTAACCGCATGCTCTGTGTGTTCCTTTTTTCTTTTCTTTATTTTTAGAAACTTTTATTCACCAAAACGTGCATACACACACTCACAATAAAAAAAAGAGATACAAACAAGAGGGGAACTGTGGAATGATACAGATTCAGACAAAAACAAACAAACAAACAAAACAAAGGAAAAGGGTCAGTAAATAAAATGAATGAGTTAGAAAGAGGGACAAAATAAGTAAATGAGCAAACAGGAGAAAGAAAAACATGGAGGACAGTATAGTAACAAAATGATGTCAAATAAAACTGCGTTTCCTCGTCTCACTTCCTGTCGGGGTCAAACTTAGAGGAAACACTGAAGACTTCTTCCTGAAATAAAAACTCAGCTGCAGCTTTAACTTTTTTAACTGTTTGAAATGTTTTCATGCTTTTCTCTGAGTGTGACGCTAAACTGACTCCAGCTCAGTTTTATTTTCTGTTCAGATACGACCGTCAGATAAAGCTTCAACAGGAAGTCACTTCACAAACAGGAAGCAGCAGAGTTAATAAAGACGAGCGACGGCGATCGGGGTGAACACGTGTTTGTGTGTTCACGCTGAGCTGCTTTAATAAGAACAGAGGAGACGTGAATCATTAATGCAGCAGCTGTTCACTTCCTGCTGAGCGGAAACACGCTGACAGGACGCGTCAGGAAGTCGGCTTCTGTCAGAGGGAGGTCTGTTTCTGATGACGGTTCAGGTTCAGGGAACGCCACCGCGTGCACGTCAATCCCAGCGTGGAGCTTTTTTATTCTGTTTGTAAACTTCTGTCTCTCAGGAGCGTTTGTATGAAGCGTTTGAGCGCTCAGAAGAAAAGCGATGCACATGGGGCGCTGGTGGCTCAGCGGTTAGTGCGAGCGCCCCATGTATAGAGGCTGTGGTCCTCCAAGCGGGCGGCCCAGGTTCGAATCCGGCCTGTGGCTACTTTCCCGCATGTCATTCCCTACTCTCTCTCTAATCTCTCCATTAAAGGCAAAAAAATAAAATAAAACGGCTGCATGTCGGTCCTGTCTCCATGACAACAGTCTGTTAACAACGCTGATGACCGACACTGCTCCGTTACTTTTTACTGCGTGTTTTATATTTGAGATCGTTTATTTCCTGATCAGACACGGAGCGAGGAGGACGATGACAAGACGCGATCTGTAGGAGGGAAAAACTCCAGGGAATATCAAACATTTGGAAAAGAGCGCCGGTGACGTCATCAGCGCCTTTTTGAAAAGTAGAAAGATTTTCAACTTGAGCGCTCGGAGCGACCGCACAAAAACGACAGAGCACTCGGAAATAAAAAAACAGACTGGGCGCTGCGCTTGTTCTCCAGCAGACGCTTTCTGCCACAGACGCTCTCTGCTCTTTGAAAATACTTTTAATAAAAGACAATTTGTGTTTTTATTTGATTTGTTCAGTTCTATTTCTATTTAAAATTTTTTTCCTTTTTGATTTATTTTGTTCTGTATGAATTTACAAAAATGTGAAAAGAGGAATCACTCTATTGTTTAACCATAAATGAACAATATGTACAAATGTCTGTGAATGTGTGATTCTAAATAAACAAATTTAAAAAGACGCCGGCGGTCAGACAGAAACGCCAGGTGGACACGAGGCGTTCTACGTCAGCAGCAGTTTTTATTTCAGGTTTTCTTCACAGAGAGAATCAAAGAAACATTAATGATCAAACTTCAGAAATAAAAATGGAACAAACAGGAAGACGACAAACTGAGTGTGAGGAAGATCCTTTGAAATAAATGTCTAAACAGGTAAGGGTTAATAACGAGTCGTTTCCCGCCTCTTGTTGATGTTCTCTGAAAAATGATGCTGAACCGTACGGCTGCCCTCCAGGGACAAAAAGCCTCTCAGCCTGGTTTATATTCCATACGTCTTCCTCCTGCAGAATCCAATTAAACTTCATCTCTAACCTCCACCCGCGCTGCAATTATGTAATTAAAGCTCCGCTGTTATTAACGTCTCAGTCAACACGGCCGCCATCATCCACTTCTACGGATTCACAGCACGACAAGCCGCTGCAGAAATAAACACGAACATTAAAGAGAAAATCTAATTCCAACAACGTCTTCATGTGAGGATGATTTATTCCTGCAGGCTGAACAGAACAACGACATCACCCTCGACGAGTCGTTAACACCTCAGACATCTGTTACAGCAACAATTAAACCCAACTAATAAGAACGTCAGAGGGCGTCTTTGAAATGAATAAACACGTCAACACAGAGAATCAGACAACAAGGAGACAAGGAAACAAGGAGGTGACGTTTAGAAGTGAGATGATAAAGGTATCTTACTATCTGATCATTAAGGAAACATGCTATGTTGAAGTGCTGGCTTCAACACAGCAGCCAGTATGTCCTCCTTCTAACTTTAGATTCTGCTCCTGAATGCTCTGGATTTGTTTGGACCAGAGAAGGTAGGCGCTTTTAAGACACGCCCCCACACGGCCGTTTTGGACGCCCCTCGGTTTGTCAGATATGAGAGCAGTTATCAGGTCAACAGGTGTTGCAGAGATGGAAGCGGTCAAGAGAAGTGGTTCAGATAGAAGTGATTGTACCCGACCTAAAAAGCCTCTGCATGTTTCTAATAAGCTCCACGAGCAGAAACGTGCTCAAACTAGGATCAATATTGGAGATGCTTTTGAAAAATGGAGAGAGGTTAGAACACAGAAAGGTTTACAGACCCATGCAGAGCTGGATAAACACTGAAGCTTCAGAGTCCACCACATGGTGACCTGAGTGAGCATCCACTCTACAGAGGAGGGGGGGGGAGACAGATCTCTATGATGTTTAGAATTTAGACTGCAGTACCCATTTTAACCACTAGGGGGCAGAGTTACATACTGCTGCTTTAATGTGAAATCTCTTCTGAAGTTCTGGAGATTACTTTTTAATAAAAGTGTCTGACTAATAAGAAGTGAACTCACAGGCAGCAGTTCTTTTGTTTCTCTCATCTTATTTATTAATTCCAGAATCAGAGCTCGCCTCAAACATCATAAATAAATGCAGCACATAAAGACGATAACACGCTCGGCAGTGAATAATAATGAGTTTACTGTATCTCATAAAGTTTTCAGAACTTTTGTTTGTTAACCTTCCCTCCTTGTGTTCTCCGTCGCCTCTCTCTGTTCCTATTTGCTCTCCTCTCTGCAGATGAGACGAGGTGTAGTTCAGGCCGGTCGGCGCTGATTTGGGGCGCCACTTCAGATCAAATAACACGCTTTCAAATGAACTGCACGGACAAAAAGAGGAAACACTCGAGTTGGAAAAACTCTGTCTCGCACAGAAATGGTCCAGAGAAAAGTGCTTGTTGTTCAAATAATTGTTCCTGAGTGCAGTCCTTCACCGCGAGGGACACAAACACACCTGTGTGGACGTTAACAAGCCAACAATCAAATCCAGACTTTAACAAACAGGAAGTGACACACAGCTTCCTGCACACGACGAGATAAAAACATTTTCATCTGTAAGTTTTGGAGTTAGCTAGCAGGCTAGCAGTTTCCCCGCGTTTTTCAGTCTTTATGCTAAGCTAAGCTAACTGGTTTATCTCAAACACTGGCTGCAAAAAGAGCAGAGCAGCTACTTCAGCAAGCGACAACAAACTGAAAAAAAAAGATTCAAAGTGACACAACATGCAAACATGTGATGTCTGGTGACAAGTCGATCTCCCTCTCTCTCTCTCTCTCTCTGTCTCTGTCTCTCTCTCTCTGTCTCTCTCTCTCTCTCTCTGTCTCTCTCTCTCTCTGTCTCTCTCTCTCTCTCTCTCTCTGTCTTTCTCTCTCTCTCTCTCTCTCTGTCTCTCTCTCTCTCTCTTTATCTCTCTCTCTCTGTCTCTCTCTCTCTCTGTCTCTCTCTCTCTCTCTTTATCTCTCTCTCTCTGTCTCTCTCTCTCTCTCTCTCTGTTTCTCTCTGTCTCTCTCGGGCGATTCAGGCGATTCATTCACGAGTGTTCGAGTGGAGACACACACACACACACACACACACACACACACACACACATCAGAGGTCGTGTTTCAACTTGTTGTCGTCGATCAAAAACATTCCTCTTCCTTCAGTCAGTTCTTACATTTCTTTTGGCTTCAGACTTTCTTTACTCCACATGAAGACCGGTGACAGGAAGGCCCCGCGTCCACCTGGTGTTTCTGTCTGAGCGCCAGCGTCCTTTTTCAATCGTCTTGTATGAGAGGAGAGCGTTCGCTTCAGCAGGCGGAGTGCAGCGCCCGGCGTCTTTTTTCCAAACAAGCCACTCTTTTTTTTGTGCGGTCGCTCCGAGCGCTCAAGTTCAAAATCTTCCAACTTTTCAGAAAGGCGCTGATGATGTCACCAGCGCCCAGAGCGGGGGGGGGGGGGGGGGTCGAACAGTGTCTGAGACGATCACAACAAAGAGAGTGTCGTTAATATTCACGAGCTGGAAACACACACGCTGAGATAACACAAAGTGACAGGAAGTGGACTTCACAATAAAAGAGTCGGATAACAACGAACGCTCCTCGTTGACCGTTTTAAAATATTCTGTCAGTGACAGCGGAGGGAGTCGACCAGAAGAACACGCCACAGATCACAGAAACACCCTCAGGCCGATGAGTCCGGGTGACAGGATTCTCCCCAAAAAGTGGATCACATGGCCTCGCTGATGCTCACATGCAGATATTTCATTTACTGTGTTCTGAACTGAGGAGGAGACGACCTTCTGCACGAACCCGAGACTTCTGCAGGATCTCTAAGCAGGAACCAGGGTCTTCATAAAGTCCCAGGGTC